TTGAAAACACTGATTATAACATTTTTTTAAGTCAAAAAACGCTTATTTTAGGGAGTGTTTGCTAAAGATTAAATAAAATGCTTTTCAGTTTTTGGCTTAAAAAAATTTGAAATTAGTGTTTACAAATAACAATTTCTGCTTAAATTAATCACTTAAAAGCTAAATGATGGAAGCAGGTAGAAGGGTGTTTTAAACTGCTTTTCACTTTTTCTATGATACAAAAAACACTTGTTTTATCAAACACTACCAACTTTTATCTTTTCAGAACCACTTTTTCTCAAACATTACCAACTTTTATTATTAAGTACTTTCTCCAAAATCACTTTAAAAACATCATTTTTTAAGTAGAAGCAATCACAAACACTCCCTTAATCTTTAGAAAACACTCCCTTAGCATCAAGGCTATTCTGTTTTAGCTTACGAGTCTATAATTGAGCATCATTATCTCTATTATATATCTTCCAATTTACTTTTTCTTTCTTATTAGTTCTTTTATAAAAGTTTCTTAAGTTATTTTTCAATATGTGAATCTAACTTCATATTTTACTTTTAAAATATGAATTGATATGAAAATCTCTCTATTGAACATTGAAACTCTACAATGAGTGTACAATATTTCAAAACCTCATTTAAGCCTCAAAACATCGTCATTGAGTATTGTGCTCTCTACTACTGAACATCGAGATTTATGCATTGAGAATTGAAACTTCACAATTGAGTATATAAAATTTTAAAGCTTCATTTAAGCATTAAAATATTTTCATTGAGTATCGTGTTTTGTAATATATTGAGAATCGAGACTATGTGTATTGAACATTGGAACTCCGCAATTGAGTATCTGATCATTCTTCTTATGTCTTTTAATTTACTTTCTTGTTTTTAGCTTTTCTGTTTTGTTCAATTTTCTCAAATTATACTTCCTCCGTTCTTAAATAAATGTAACAGTTTACATTTCACATTTGTCGAGACACAACTTTGACCATTAATATATTTAATTCTGTATTAGTAAAAAAATTAACAAAATTAGATTTTAAAAATTTACAATGAGACAAATTTAACAATATTTTTTTCATAAAAAAATATTAATACATTAATAAATAAAACGTAGTCAAAGTAGAACATGTGAATAGTGTAAAAATCAACATGTTGCATTTATTTAAGAACGGAGGTGGTATTTTGAATAACCTCCTATGAATTACAATATGTAAATCTAGTGTAATATTATACTTTTGAAATATGCATTGATATGACATTTTAAAATAAACATAACACCAATAACCAATGAGGATACATAACTTACAAACTAGCATAAAAAAATTCAAAAGCTTATTTGCATTCTCTAATGTTCTCAAATGTTCATTTGTGTGTGCTCATTTCTTTTAAGCATTATACTCTTTGAGTATAAGATAAACTCTTTTCTATAATATGCACATGTAGTGAATTCACTATCAACAATTTTCTAAGGTATCATTATATATAACAATGAGAAATACAAGAATGGTATTTAAAATGAACACAATGAGAAATAACAAGAATGGTATTTAAAAATAATTTATAATTTGTCGTTCTTGAAATCAATAAAATGAAACAAAAAAAGTGTTCCATTTGAAAAACAATGAACACATGAAATAAAATCATGATTCATGAGAGTCAAATACTTTGAATCGACAAACTATCCATAATAACATCATTGTCATATGTTGAGACCTTAACCAGGCCCATACCAGATTCCTAGATAGAGTACATTTAAGAAAAGCAATGGACTTGAGGGCAAAATCAGAGATAGTCCATTAGTCCCTTATCAAAAAGTGTTCTGATTGAAAAAAACAGTCAAAACAAAAACTTCAGTATTCTTCCACTCAGAACTTGAAAATTTCAAAACAGTTAAAGAAAATTACCTTTTCGACATTTAATTTATTCCAGTCCTTCACCAGGTATCTATCTCATTTTTCATTCGGTCTGAAATCTTAACACCATACTCCAATGTAAATCGCTTGAAAGGAGGCAATTTGGAGCGAACGATGAATGGGGATTACTTGGAAGATTGAATCTATAGATACATAGAACTTGAAAAACAAGATTTAAGGAGAAATAATATAAATCCTCTAAACTTTGAATGGGCTTGAGATTGATATCTCAAACTTGCATATGAAATAAGTATACTCAACTCTATATGAAGTATGATATTACTACTTTTATTTGGGTTTACATTAGTATGACTACAACTAAGAAACACGTACGCCAGATTTTTAGTAATGCAGCGAAATTACCTATGTGCCCCAACACGGTTATGGAAACGGCCAAAATGCAGGAATTCCGGTGTATTCATTAGCGAATAAACAAGTAAAGTATGAAAGGTGTATTCATAACGTTCTGGAGAGAGAGGCAAATCATTCGTAGGCCGAAGCAATACACCACAAGGCGAGGGGCAATTCTTTGAGATTGCATTGCCAAGGTGAAGAAGAGTCAGATTTTGCAGGTTTGGTACTCTGATTATTAATTACTTGAGCATGAATATGATGTTCTTTGGTTAACCATTGATGTTATTCCTTTAATTAAGATTATTGAAATGAATTTAAAGCACGAGTTGTGATTCACGATCATGAATTTAAGAACGTGATTTGTTAGTAATGGCGTCCTGGGTAATGAATCAAAAAAGATGAATGTAATTTGGTAGAGTGGAATTTGGTCGTGATTGTGTAGTAATTATTCGTCTGGTACTACCAGTAATTAAGTTTAGAGTTCTGGGAGTTAATTATGTATTGTTGGTAATGATCCTGACATGATCATGAAACTGTATTAATGATTTCCTACGTGACTTATTAGTCATGTATGTGGTAATGATTTGGTTCATGACATGATACCGTAGACTTAGTAGTAATTAATGAAGCGAACTGATTGTTTGTGGTGTGGTAGAGATGCATTGGTCATGATACTGTAGTAGTGATTTGGTTTTAGTTTTATCTATTACGTTGGAAAGTCCAAATGCAGTCATGAATTGGGGGTATAGAAGATGATTTGTAGTACATCAAATGATAGTCATGCAGTTGGTGTCATTAATCGTGAATGTGTAAGATGTGTGATAGACATTCTGCGGTAAGGTGACGGTAGTAATGATTGAATTATATAACGGAGGCGAACAAATCACATTGTGACGCTTGTTTAGTAAAGTGATGAATGGAGGATCAAGTAATTGAGGTTGACTAATGAATACATAATGTGTGTTCGGCGTACCATTTGTGACTGTAAGTAATTGATTTGTAAGAGATACTATATTGCGATAGTAGTAATGTTTTCAATGTGCAAGTAATTGTTCGGTGCATCTTGTCATCCAATACAATTTTTTTAAGTTTAGATACTATGAGCAATAGTCATTAAAAAAAGGTAACTAACAAAAGATTTTCCTAGTTATTATCAATTGACAAATTTTTTTTTGCAACAACATGGAACCATTGTTAGTGACAGTGTTGGTAGGGGACGGTTGGGATGAAAAAAAGGTATTCCTAACAAAATCCACACATGACACATGGTATGGTCCTTAATCCTGCGACAACGTATGAAGAACTTGTGGCTAATGTGCGAAAGTACTCAATCTTGACCTCAAATAACGTTGAATCCATGAATTCTATGGATCGATTAGCACGAGAGTATCCCATCGCTACTCTTATAGAGTATATGAGAGATAAGTTTCATATGGGTAAATTTCTATGCAGGTGAAACCAAGTACAAGTTTCAGCGCAGAAGTGATTAACTTGTCATGTAAGACATTTTTAGTGAATCTTGAGGAAAGGAGATGCAGTTGCCAAGAATTTCAGTTAGAAGATTTTGTGTGTCCATGCGGTTGATCTTGTAGGACACCTGAATGGGCTATCATGTTATGAGTTATGACTATGTGTCAGCTTATTACAAGACAAGCGCATGGCGTGGGCATATCCAGGAATTATTAATTCATCCTATTGGGTCATATACAGATGATGAACTGCTCGAGGAGTATAGGAGGTGAGAGGTTAAACCTCCTCTATGCAAAACAAGAACCGCCGGGAGGCCGAAGTCAAAGAGAATTCGTTCTATTGGTGAATTTGGATCAAGACAAAAATGCACAAGATGCAAGCACCATGACCATAACCAAAAGACTTGTAATAACCCGATACCGCTATCAATGATGTGAGATTGTGATGCTACATGTTTGATTATTTTATTTGTTTTTTATTCAAGCAAACATGCTGTCACGAGGCTGAGGATTTCAGATTTTATTTATAATTTATTTATAATCTTGAACTATGATATCGTTTTATGATACAACGTACACTTGAATTGTGATTTCTGACTTGTTTGACGTTGAAAGTTAATGTTTCACGTCATACAAGTTGTTTAATTAATATAGTGCGATGACATTTTACTTATGCTCAAGTATGGTTGTTACTCATTATCCGTTAATTGTGTTATTTTTCGTTTTACCATTGTCTTGTTAGAATGACTGCGGCGGGATGTTTATTTCTATATATTGGTGCATCTTTTCCAGAGAGATGAAAAAAATAAAAATCTCAATGAAGTTTTGATGAGTATTGATATATATTTTATAGTACAAGACTTAGAACAATAGTAAGCAATATACATAGTGAGCATTCAGATATCACAAGTCAGTGCTATATTTCAGAAATCTTGTTACATTAAGTAGTAACAATTGGAGTTGAGTGCAAAACATAGAGTTTGAAGGAATGATGTACACTTGAATTGCACTGATTAGCGTAAAAAATAATTGACTTAGCAAAAGATATTAAAAGTTGTAGTAATTTCCAATGAAATGAAAGAGCATCCAACAAAATATCAAAGTTGAAGGGGCACAATAGTGCAACTAAACTAACAGGAAACAATGCGGGATCATTTAAAACTAACAGGAAACAAAGCTTTGGCCTAGATAACTGTTTGTCCCCAAAACATTGTCCACCTCTAAGTACCATTACATGTTCACAAGCACATTCAAATCCAGTTAAATAAAGTGAGAAACGGTTTCCATACAAAATACAAATTATTTGAAGTGAAAACTTGAAAATGTTTATTTATGTACACATACAATTAAATATAGTTTGAGAGAACATCCTCATTCTCTTGAAAAAACTAACTGCCAATTGTCAATAATGGCAAAAACAAGTATATACTCTATATTTTTTTAAACAAATCTGGGAGGCACGGGGCGGTAGGCGAAAATAAAACACAACAATTTGTATAATCAGGAGGAAGCAAAAATATTTCCTCCTTTTGGTAGAAAGAAAACCAACAGAAGTAACACAAACTACACAAACTCTAGTACGAATGAAGGCATCATATCAAGTGGCACAAATCTTTTTTGCGATCCATTTCCGTTTAGCACTTTCAATTGCCTCCTCCCTCATCCGCATAAGTTCTCGACAGCATTGATGATAATGCATGTCAATGGCATCAATCTCCATCTTTAGATCATAACATTGTTCTTTACCATCATCCATGTCAGCTACAGAGAGCGAGGAAACACACACACCATTCATATCATTAGATATGGCATCCCATGACCCAGTTGAGGAGATCGATGTTAAGTATTTTTTATGCTCACTAAGTGTGGTTGATACTCCATCATCATATAAAGAAGATAACTTCACCTTGAATAACTCTTCAATATTGTTAATATTATTCCCTCCTTCTGACGGTGCATGAGAAAAGATACGCTGCTGCTCAGTAGATTCTTGGCCAGTTCCTGATGAGGGTTTCCAACTTGGTACAATTTTTGAAGCTAAGCAATCAATCATATCGGCTATTAAGGCCACATCTTCATTTGGCAACTCAAGTTGTTCAACCATCTCCTCAACAATTGAGACAGTAGTGTCGTGATCAAGGTAAAACATGAAATGGATATTCCTCACTTTACCTGTTCAAAAGAATACATGCAAAATGTAAAGTTATTTTAAGTGCCCGCTTGTAAGTCATTTTCCCGTTTTTTTTGTTTTTGTTTTTTTTAATCAATCAAAACACTAAATTAAAGGGCACTCTTGGACACAAAAGGGCAATTAAAGGGTATGGATCGATATTATTGTTGTTCCATAACAATGGGCAACGCACCTCCAAAAATGATCTCCACTATTCCATTACCAAAATGCTTACAACTTAGAAGAGTTTAAGAGCTTACAACTTGAAAATCACCAAGAACATCATCCCCACAAATCAATAAGAACATTCATTCCTTCCTTCCTCCCTCTAAGATAAGTTCATTTACTCATGCAGCACTCCCAAGATGTCTGAGTTTGATCCCCGTTAATAAGTCATATTTTTCATTCATCACACTGGCTAAAAGTTTGAATTTTTAAAAAGGAATGCATAAGTTGTTTTAGGTATTATTGTCTTTCAAAAGAAATAAAAAAGAGAATTTTATATAATATTGCACATAATTGAACATGTCCAGCCATTTCAGACATATTGTATTATTGTTAGCACTTCAACCATTCTAGGCCTGACCAAATGGGATCTAAGACATCTTCTCAATAATTGCATTAGTAATTGCTCTATATAGGACTACAGATAACCTGAAATGCGAAAATAGGACCACTACATTTTTAACCATCCCAAATAAGACTAATTTACTAAACAATTCATTCCTACCAGAAATGCCCCTAAGGGTATTATTTTATAGTGAAATGTTATAATTCATAATAAAATCTTATCAAATAATAAAAAATTGTGATTTAAAAAAAAATCATACAAAAATAATAAAAAACTAAACAAATATATTTAAAAAATAGTAATTTTTTTATTTATTTTTTAAAATATAATAAAAAATGTAGTAAAAATCCATTAAATTTTTTAAAAATACGGATACCTTTTCCACCGCCTTCCAGCACCACCACCTTTGATCGATAAAAAATATGCCACTTTTTATAAAAACAATTATTTTTTCCCGAAAATGTCAAGAAAAATGGCATTATTACTCTTCATAATGCCAAATTCTCATTGAATCTGCCATTATTATAGCATTACTAAAATTGTTGGCAAATTATTTTAAAACAAATTAATAAAAAATAGTAAAACCGATAAAAAATATAAAAAATATGGATACCTCTTATCGGTGAAAATTCTGCCATTTTTTGTAAAAAATGTTATTGTTTTCTTAAAATGCCAAGAAAATGGCATTATTACTCATCATAATGCCAAAATTCTCATTGAATTTGTCATTATTACAATATTACTAAAAATGTTGGCAGATTTTTATCCGGTGATAGGTGCTGGTGGTGCTGGGATGGCAGAGGCGGCGACTTTTTTTTTTTTTTTTTACATTTTTTCTTTTTTTTTTAATATATTTTTTCTATTTTTTTAAAAAAATTTCATTTTATAAATATTTCATTATTTTTTTAATATGTTTTTAAGCTTTTTTATGATTTTATTATTAAATAAGACATTTCAAAAGTCTCAAGGGTATATTTGTCCAACTACACATAAATAGTCCTACTAGGGGGAATAAAAAACATGGAGTCCTATTTGTGCTTTTGTTCCACTTTTTTGACCTATTTAGGTAATTAATTCTGATTGCATATATATGCTTTAAAGAAGCACAACATACCATTATTGTCAGTAATGCGCAGACGGAAGGAAATGGAACTTTTATCATTTTTCTCCCCTATCAACTGAAACTCGTTTTTCCCATTATATCTTAGAAGCTCGGAAGTTTGGGGAATTTCAGTCATGCTTTCTACATAAGCAACATTGGATAACTTTCTAGAGGTGGGGTCTATTTCCATTGAGAGAGTGTCAGACTTCGACATTACATTTGAGTTCTGCATGACGTCGGGCAGGGGTTCCTTTGAACTAGTAGTGGCGCATGAAAGAAATGGATCTTTCAAAAGCTGTGAAGCGCTTAAACGTTCAGATGCTGGTACCAAGCACTTCTTTATGAACTGCCTTAATTCAGGATCCACAATTTTATCCAAAGCTGCAGGTTTTATACCCTATAAATACATATTAGAATATTTAGATGGGAAATCAGTTGGACAAAAAAAGACACCTCCTTATATGAATCTCTAGCAACTTATGAATCTTACCGAAGTAACCTTTTTATAGATTTGTGCTTGATTTCTGCACTCACTGTAGGGATATTCAAGTGTTATGAGCTCTAACAAGCACATACCAAATGAATAAATGTCAACAAGTTCATTGTACTCTTCATCATAAAGCTCAGGTGCCATGAACTCAGGAGTTCCTACATATTATTCCACAATAACTTAAGAGAATAAGCAACAAGGTTCAAGAAAAAAGAGGCTACTAATTCACATCAATGATTTACCAATAACACTTTTTGCAGTAGGTTGTTGCATTATTGTAGCCAATCCTAGATCTCCTATTTTAACTTCACCATGATTCCCATTGATGAATATATTATCACACTTGAGGTCTCTATGAATGATAGGTGGGTTGTGACTGTGGAGATAATTTAAGCCTTTAAGAATTTGCCTAGCCCAATTCTTGATGGCCTTTATGTCAGCAGCCTTATGTTTCCTTCGATATCTACACATTAGATCATTAAAAGGAAAACATAAACAAATAATTTTGGAAGGATGGTGAAGCAGCCAAGAAATATGAGTATGAGACAATGTGATTTATATGCAATCTACATATGTATAACTTACTGCCTCAAGCTTCCAGAAGTGAATAACTCTGTGATAATATTAATTGTTTTGTTCTGATCATCAACCCAGGAGTCAAGTGACTTTATGATGTTCTCATGTTTCAATGTCCTCAACAGGTGAACCTCAGAATATAACCTCTCCATATTTGCACATGACTGCATTGCCTCATCAATACTGACTTGGTTCCAAGCAACCTCAATTCCTTCCATTTCATCGAACGCTTTATAGCTACATGTCACATTTAAAGTAAGTCAATTTCATAATTCTTAGAAGTTATAATTTGAGAATTTAAAGAAATCTATAATATGCACAGGTGAAGGGAAGAAAGAGATGGAAGCAGGGAACCTACACAATCTTAAATGCTCCTCTTCCCAAGATTTCATTATACTGGAGAAAAGAAGACAAATAAAATGTGATGGCACCGGCAAAGCCAAAACATTACATAACAACAACTAAAGGAGCCTGGAAAACTATAGCATCCAATTACTCAACTACCCAATTTTAAAAAGGTTGAAATCATAAAGTGCCAAAACTAAACATTAGTAATCCTGTTCACAATCAAAAGCATGCCAAGATTACTACATTCACAATCACAAGCATTTATCGAAGGAATATCAGTTCATTTCAGCTATGAGGTTTCGAAGTAAGCCAATTTTTTAGGGAAGAAGAAGAGAGTACCCGAACGTATCGATTGTCCGAAGATACTTCAGCAACGTCGTCATCAGAAGTTTCCATCTTTCTGTTAGTTTTCAAAGGAAAAACAAACCCCGATGCCCCCAAATCCATCTGAACTATAAAGGAAAACTCAAACTTTTCAAAGAATCAAGCAAGAAAAAAGGGAACTGGGAAGGAAAATAAGGATCAGAGAAACAGATGTTCGGAAAAAGCTTCGCAGGCCACTGAATATGAATCTATGATCCTGCCGAATCGGTATTCGCGTCCTAGAAGATTGACATTCTGCCAATCAAAACTGATAGTCCCAATTCCCCTTCTTGACATCTTCTGTTCAATCGCTCGATGAAAGATCGGATCTTTCACATTATCTATCTACGATCGGAAAACAGGGGCTGAAAATAATGAGCTAAGATGGAAGCCTGGAAATTGAAGAAGAATCAACCCCTCCTATTGTAATTGTAATCAACCCTAAAAATGGGACCGGAATCGATCGAAGATGGGTTGAGAATCTGAGGAGACCGAAGACGGAGGAAAGCTGAGAGATCTTGTAAGCAAAAAAAGGGGGGCTACACGATGATATGATCCTCCGTGAATGCTTTGAATTCGACTTGGATTCGAAGTTCTATTCCCAGTCAGCGTCATATTAGGAAAAAAAGTGAAATGGAAGATCAATACCGTTCCCGCAAGAGTTAATTTTTATCCATAAAATATGATTCGGGAGTAATGAGTAATGACCAAGTACAACGTAGTATTTGTGGCTTTGAGGTTAACCGAAAATAGATGTTCCTACACAAAATTTAACGGAAAACACATGTTTTCTTTTGGATTATTTTCAGTTCCAGATTAGACCAGATCAGAAAATTTTACTTCAAAAGAAAACATCCTTATTACTTCCACGCCTCTCACAAACTTATTAAACTTTCTATCTTCAAATCTTCCTGTATTTCCTTCAAATTCCGCCTCTAACACACACTTTTCAAGCTCTTAGGAAAATGGACTATGTTGACTACATAGCATTCTTCTGTGAGTTGATACATTTCGAACTTCACCCGGGACAAGCGCACAGATGCATATGCGGACTTTATAGGTAAATGTCACTCTTTCATCATAATATTTTCATAAAATATACTCTTATTTAAACTTTCTTGTGTGTGTTTGATAAAATGCTTATATGATCAGTTGTGTGTTGTGGCATAATATGTTAAAATGTCAATTTAGCTGTCAGTTAAATGTTAACTATGTCTTCGAGCATAATATTTATAAGTGTGCTCACATCTTAACATCTAAGATAGCTAACCACACAATATTTAAATGTGTTTCTATTTTATTTTATTTTATATCCGAGCGTTTTAAATGGATAACATAAATGTTTTAAAAGATGCTATTTCAAGAAATCTAGAATATGATTATTACTTTATTATGTATAATATCTACATTTATTAGCTATTTTCACATAAAAACAAGGATCACCCGCTTAGCACCGAAGTATGTAGTTGTTATTTTTTCGAGAATATGTATTTGTTGATTGATTTTTGCAACATTTGGATGATAAAAATCAGGTTAATGTTTGGAAGCGGAAGTAACTTTCAACCTGGCCAGTGATTATGATTCTAATATCACCAAGACGGAGCCTAAATGATCGCAATGGAATAACTTTACAGATGTTGAAATAAAGGTGAATCTCTTAACTTTTGGCTTAGTTCATTAGCAGCTTTGCATATACATGGTTAACAAAAGCAATGACTGTTGGTTACCTACAAATGAAAAATGATTTGTAATATTTTAAAACATCTAAACTATGATTAGTTATTAATAATAGTAACATGTTTTATGTAACTTAAAAATATAATTAATATAATTACTTTTTAAATGGCTAATAGGGTATGTGATAAGGTATTAACAAAAAAAAGTGATAGGGTATTTGAATTTAGTCAAAATCTTTTTTCTTCCACATACATTTTATGACTTATTTTTTTCGTTGATGCCTTCTCATAAACCAAGGATTGATCTTTGTTCTTCAAATTTATGTTTTAATCATGATCAAGCTATTTTAGTATAGTAAGTTGAGATTGCATCCATACAGTTTAATTAGTAAACAGTTTAATGAGAAATAATGAGGATCATTTCTTTTGATACTCCCACAGATTTGCCCACTGTTATTTGCTAAAAAATAGTGTCCTATTTGAACTAAATGTTATAAGGTAGATTCTATGGTACCCAAAAGGTACCGTACCTTTGTTCAAATGGACCAATCAAAATATTGCAGTTGAATTATTTAAGTCTAAATTAAAAATGATATACCTATGTGGACCAATCAAATGAATAGTAGGTACGGTACCCCATTTTTTAAATGGGTACTGGAGTTCTCACCATGTTATAATTAGAAAACGTCTTGATAGTATATACCAATAACTCCAAAACAAGAAGCCTTGCTTATGTATATAGTAAGTAAATCTTATATTAAAAACAAAATAATATTCTTATGGAAAACAATAATCCTTTACTTGTCCTTCTAAAAACAATCCTTACTAAGGATAATCTAAAAAAATCCGACCTTTTTTTTTTGCCGGGGAACACCTTACCTTTTATTTATAAGATTAGGGAAGAAGGAAAATACAAGGTAGGGGGACTAGGCCAGGACCCACCCAAGAAGAACAATTAGATAACATAAGGAAAAGCAATAGCATCAAATTTAAGAATATTGCTGAATCTATTGGATCTAACATCAATCCCCATACTAATATCTTTGGCTGCGCAGTTGACCTTTTCGTGGACAAGTGTAACAATGATGTGCTTTTGATGCAAAATCCTACGAATGCAAGAGATGGTGAAGATTTGATCCCAATAATTGACGCACTTCAGATTTATGGCTTCAAAAACTTGTGGATTATCGATTTGAATCTCATTGTAGATGATTCCACGGTCCCTACAAAAAATGAGATAGTCATAGTAGGCCTCAATAGAGGCTTTCACTTTGGAGTTGGACAGAATGCTACGGGTGTGATGGGAGGTCATTTGGCCCTTATGGTTGCGCACCAAAAAACCAAAATTGTGGGAGAGACCTCTTTGGGTATGAGCGATGTTAAGGGTTCTATGGTTGGCCCGAGGGGGATTCCACGAAACCACTTTCGGTCTGCTTCTAAGGGTCTTTATAGGTCTCTTATTATCATTGAGGGAAATAATTTCCCGTCTGATATTGTAAATGGCCTCAGAGTAGTTTGGGGAAAGATCATCATAAAGGGTGCTGTTTCTCAACTTCCAGAGATTCCAAAAAATGACAGTGTAAGTAATAAAAGATTTGTGGTGTGTCCAGTTAAGAATGGTATCCTTAAGGTTGCCTTCCAAACGATGACTCTGGACCTGAAAGTAGCTCCAAATAGGAGCGTGGGACTTACAACGCAAGAAGAAATGCTCAATAGAGTCATCGTGGTTGCAATGAGGACATTTAAAAGGGCCATGAAAGCCCATTCTCTGGGTATACCATCTGCTGTTTTTGGTCCCATCCTGTTGTATACCGATTGTAGCCCGTTAGGTTAATTGAAAATTGAAGAGTCAAACCTTTTCTAAAACTCCCCTCCCCGTGTAGCTGGTGATAGGATAATTGTTCACACTCTTCAATTTATTGATCTTAAGATTTGGGATTTGCAGGTTGGGACGGAAAGTAGCTAGGGAACGAAGTACGAAAGTAGTAATAATAAAAAGAAAATAATAATAAGATGATAATACTCCTTAGCTTAATAATAAAGATAGTAGGCAGACTACTCCATTGGGTATCAGGTGAAAAGTACTCCGTATGAAACCGGCTAATTGCATTTGACTTGTTTATGAGGTACCAGGTCACCACGGTCCACTATTAGAAGACATGTTATATAGATTGGATTATTTTCAGATTAATCTAAAGTGAGATTGTTTTAAGAAGATAGAATAATGGTGCAATTATTAACATCAATTTTTCCTATTCTTATCTATTTGCTTCCTTAGCTGTTTAGGTTTCCAAATAAGTGATGATGTGGAAACTATTCTAACAATCTCTACACAATAAGTGATGATGTGTCTTTGACTATAAAAAAATGTTAGAGCAAATATGTAAGTCATCTATCAAAATATCATCATAATTCCTAAGACTCTATTCATAAGAACACTTCGAATACAAAAATTACTTGGAAGTTATTTAAAATTCTATGGATAAATTATCTAGCTTATTTAGAATGAGATTTATTATTTTTATAATTTATTTTATGATTTTACACTTTGGTTCATACTTTAAATTTGTCATGCCTATTTCTTTTGATCCAAGATAGGCATGATATAGGTAGTGAGACATATGGAGTTTGAGCATGTGTTGGTGGTGTACCGGAAAAGTTCTTATCATGTTGGACTTTTGAAAAAGATTTAAAAAAACTCCCTGGCTGCAACTAAACATGCTATGCTTTTATCAGAGTCTTAGAAAGAAAGTTCTGCCATAAAAGCAAAGTCACAGTTTAGTCCTTTGCTTTGGGTTCGCTTCACCGACATAGGTATTTTGGTCATCTCGATGAATTCATTTCAAAGTCTATATAATCTTAAATGTTTAAATTATGTCACTCATTGTAGACCACTCTAGCTTATTTACTTTCTTATCCAACAACAATTTTACATTTCTACCCTCTATATCACAAAGTCGATCGAATTACTGGAAAACTAGGTCCTTTCTAAAGTTTGAGTTTTATTAATATGGGCTGCTTTGGCATCCTTAAGGACGGCTTAGGGTTGGTTTGCAAATGCTTTAAAAAAGCACTTCTCACCTTTTGGGTTAAAAAACACTTATTTTACCAAACACTACCAACTTTTATTTTTCTCGGCTTTGGTGTCAAAAGTGATTTTATTTTTTCTATTACACAAAAAGCACTTATTTTACCGAACACTACCAACTTTTACTTTTCAAAATCACTTTTTCCTCAAACACTATCAACTTTTATTTAATCACTTATGCTCATTCCATTAAAAAAACACTTTTTTTAAAACAGAAGTTGTTGCAAACAGACCCTTAATAGAGTTTCTATGCAAATCAAATAGAGACCAACTTTGGAATTTCCTTAACGTTTTTCTAAAAATATTAATGGCAGCTTGTTTAGTTTCTAAGTTGCCTTTTTGTTTTTCAATTCTTCATATGGATAGTTCCTTTCTCAAACAAAAAATTTAAAACAAAAGAAAGATGAATAAAAATGGAATGAAAGAAGGGTGTCTTATATTTAATTTGTTCTCTATTTTGCACCAAGTAGGGGCTTATTTGTAAGTATATAGTTTGGTGATAGTTTTAGTGTCTCTACAAGCTTCATCGGCTTCTCTCAGCCGCATTGGTAGAGGAAATCGACCTCGATGTTTGAAGCCATTAATGGCCCACACCTTAGGCCTTGGTAGCTCGCACAGAGAGCTGTCTTTTTTCTTTGAGCTAAGCTTTTCCATTCAAATTGGTATTACTATAGATAAGGTATTTTTTGCCACAGGATAAGAGACTTTGCCATGGGGAGAAGGATTTTGTGTCTGAGGGTCTGTTACAACTTCATATACTGCTTATAGATATATATGTGGGGAAAGATCAAGTACATACTATGCTTGTTGTGCAAACATTTGTACGATGCACCTTAACGTTCTTTGTGTTGTATATTGAGGTTCAAAGTAGTGCATATTATTCAGCCATAAAATAGCAGTTGCACATTACCG